TTGCAATCTCAACAAATAGTGTTGAGAAGGGATTCTGCTTCAGATGGTGTTTTTCCATGTAGTTTCAGATCATCTATAGCAGATATCCGTGTATGTCTGATATCCCTGGACTGAGTTATTCAATATAGTTGAAGGAGGAATCAATGCAATGACAAGCAGTAATGGAGACAGGGAATTTCCTTGAAATTCCACTCTTGAAGTTAATATCTTCAAGTTTACCTTCCATTGTACTATCTATCAGTCTTTGTACAAAGCATCTGATGTTCTACAACCTTCTGTTACTACTAAGCACTAGATTACCCAATCGTGTGTCAGTGAGTCAGATGTCTTTTGTAATCAATCCATGGAATATTCATATTGATCTTCCTTCTCTTGCAGTTTTTCAGAATCAACTTGTCAATTAGGAGCTAATCTTTATGTTATTAGTGGTAACAGTGGCAGTGGTGACAGTGAGGACAGGTTTACTCTGGTTCTATCATTGCAAAGTGCTTTTTAACAATTGCAAAATATTTGTCAATCTTATATATTTGGCTTTAGCTTTTTGTAGTTTTTCTTCTCAACAGTTTTCTAGTTGGAGAATCTCTGGTATAACTTTAATATCTTCCATTGTTGTTTAATTCTCTCTGTTCTGTTATGGAATATAGATTACTATTGCCTACTACTTTAGGAATAGGGATGGAAGAAGCAAAATGACTGCTTCTAGTACTGAACAGGAAATCATTTAATTAATGCGATTACATTTTTATTATTTAATTTATTTTCCTGATTTTAAATGTAATATTGGATATTCCTGCTGAGGTTGTAAGCCTCTCAGCCCCCAAAATAACACTTCAGAAACAAGGTTTATCAAACAGAAGCTCCTCTGCCTTGAGCAAGTCAAGGAAATTATTTTCTAAAGTGCTTTAGCATAATCTTATTAAACCCATAGCAGGGCTTCAAAAGAAAAGTTTTCTAGATGTTTGGCTGCTAACAAGGGAAATCAGTAGCTGAGGAATTGCAGGAAGCTTCAAATGTTTGTATTGCCTAATTTCAAATTCCTTGCTTGCTTCACAAAGCTTGACACTGAGGTTTTTGGAAATTTATAACATCTGCTGTAAGATCCATGAATAAGCGCATATCTCTTGTGTGTGCATTTGGAGAAAATAGCATTTCATATTTCCATATGGCTCATTGACATTTATTCCTAACTAACAGATATTCTTAGAAAGATAGTTATAACTGAATTTTGCTTTTCAGAAATCTTCCTACTAGATCATTGTATACATTTTATAAATTATTTCTTACAGAGAGCCACTGAGTACAAAGTTTCAAAAGTCAATGTGAATACTGATTTTCCACTCTATATTAAAATGAAAAGATGATTCATTATAGATACAGTAATTGTTTTATTTTTTGCTTTTATGGCATTCCACAGTACATAAAACATTATTAGAGAAATGTCAATGTGAAAGACAGGGATTGATGTTTAACCAAATAGATGTCTGTGAATTAATTTTAATTATATTAAAAACAAAATTTGGATAAATGAGAAGAGTAATGTGAAAGTGAGATAGCAATAGTGCTTAGACTTACATACCACTTCAAAGTGCTTTACAAACTGCTCTCTAAGCAGTTTACAGAGTCAGCATTTTGCTCCCAACAGTCTGGGTCCTCATTTGACCGACCTCAGAAGGATGAAAGGATGAATCAACCTTGAGCCTGGTGAGATTCGATCTGCCAAATTGCAGGCAGCCAGCAGTCAGCAGAAGTAGCCTTCAGTACTGCATTCTAACTGCTGTGCCCCTGCAGCTCCACAAGATGGACTGGAAGTAAATTTATTTGCCAGTTATTAGCTATTTGTATATGTTTGTATATCATTGGCTTTGGATTCCCCCTTCCCCTAAAAAAAGGATTGAGTGTGCCCATTCTCATTTACTGGAGCAGGTTTGGATCTTGTGGGGCAGGATCACCCATATAGCTATAGCAGTAGCATTTAGACATATATTCTGCTTAATAGTGCTTTATAGTGATTTACAATGTCAGCATATTGCCGCCAACAATGTGGGTCCTCATTTTACATTTTCCTCATTTTACTAACCTTGGAGGGATGAAAAGCTAAATCAACCTTGAGATGGTCATGATCAAACTCCTAGATATGGGCAGACTAAGCTGCAATACTGCAATCTAACCACTGTGCCACTACAGCTCCTGTAAATTATGAGTACCAGTTTTCTTGCAGCCAATATTCATCCATATAAGTATGTTTTGCCAATGTGTTTGTGAGTGTGTGTTATTGCAGTAATAAATAGTCTGTAGTGTCTGCTCTGACATTGTAATGCATCATTCTGAATAGAAAAAAGGCAAGTTATGGAAAAATAATTTAGAAAAGGAAAGCTTAGTATCAGATCTTTAAATGTAAATGAAGCTTTCACTTTCCAAATCAGGTTTTTGGTTAAATAATATTGTGATCCAGAAATGTATGTATTACCCAGAGAAAAATGAAATATTTTACAAAATTTTCTTAGTAATTATCATAAAACGGTATATGCAGGAGGTTTCTGGTAATAATAAAAAAGCCCAAAGAAGCATGATTCATAGGGTAAAGCTAACTAGTTCAACACCAGCCTGATTAATATTTTTTGTCTAGACAAAACAGTAAAAATATTTTTAAAAATGTACCATTTTCCATTTGCTTTACAAGTAGTTCACTGATTCTACTTAGTTTAACTAACACCATAGATTAATTCTTTCTGAAAGTGCAAAAGTGATTATCATCTTAATCTGCCAATTTTTGAAATGAAAATACATTAGACCAGCAGTCACCAACCGGTGGGCCACAGCCCACTGGTGGGTCGTGAGAAAATTTTGGTAGGCTGCAGAGAAATCGCACCCCAGAGCACCCCCACCCCCAAAGCAATTAATCCAGGCTGTGCAGAAACACAAGGCTGCGCTGCCCACACGGCCCACGGGAACCCTCCCCGCCCACTCACTCCTTACCTTGCAAACTTGCCTGCTAAATTTCTAGTTTTCGTTTTTCCGACCATCATCTGTTCTGCTGTGCCCAGAGATTTAGATTAGCTAGGAAGCAGGAAATGGTTGGATTTTCTTGCTTTCTAGCTAGTCTTTAGATCTTCGTCTCTGCTTTTAAGTACAGCTGAACCTCCCTTAGGACTGGAGTTTTGCTTGCAAGCAAATTCAATGCAGACTCACAGCAAGCAAATTTGAGAGACTGCAATAGCCGATGGCATTTAGATGGATCACTGAATGAATCTGTGAACAACTCAATCTGCCGGTTTTGCCTGATTTTGGGTAAAAGTTGCTCTTTTTAAATAAAAAAATCAATATTTACATGCAGGGTGTGTTGTGAGTTAATTTTATGAGTTTGCTTGCTAGGAAATTTTATGTGACAGACTGAGCTAGCCAATGGTAGATAGATAGATTTCGGAATGAATCTGCGATTCTGTGAGCAACTCAATCTGCCTGCCTGCTATGCCTGATTTTGAGTAAAAGTTGCTCTTTTTTTATTAAAAAAATCAATATTTATATAAATATTTATAATATTTACATACAAGCCATGCCCAGCCAGTCACATGACCACCAAGCCACAGCCACAAATTAGGCCACGCCCACAGAACCAGTTAGTGGTCCCTGGGACACCAGGTCTTGGCAACCCCTGCATTAGACCCTATTGTCTGATTTTTCACATATGGAAATACAACTCATTTAAAGGTAATACTGTCAATATTGTGTTCTTACAGTGTCTACGGGCCATTATTGTTGTAATTAATACATATCACTAAAATGAAAATTATATATACTTATCAGTTAATTATGACTTTTAAAACAACCACTTGATTTATTGATTATTGATTACAACAAACCTCCAAAATTATAGGAGGAAAAGCTGCAGATTTATAATACCAAACTCAGTTTCATTAAAATCCACTTTCATTAGAGTAAAGTTTGTAGCTGATCGGTTGTTCTTAAAATTCTTAAAATTCAATGTCTAGACAACGTCTAAAATTCAATATCTATCTTTGCTGCCAGAAGGATGGCTGAATATGATTTCCAGAAGCAAAAGATGCAATTCTAGGATCAATGCACAATTGAAATTATTATTTTTTTGCTTTTATGGAATGCCACAGTACACAAATTCAATCCACTGAATTTAAATTATGTGTGAGCCTCTGCCACAAAGATTGGATGCAATAAGCTGACCATGTAAAGGGGGCATCTCTTAGACATTAGATGGTTACCATGTTTATGACTTTTTTGTGCTGTCCCCACATCCTCCCACACACCCTGGCTTTTTGCATGTAAGACATTTATTCTAAATGTAGTATTTATCTTTTGTCATGTGTTTAATCATATTTCTATTCATGTGATTTGAGCATTTGGTTTCCACAGCTCCAGCTCTTTTTATTAAAATTTGTCAACAATCCCACGGGTACATCTATTTCCAAACTTTTTTTATTTTATGTAATCTGATATGTAATCTGCCGTTTAAAAGAAACAGAGAAGGAAACTGACAGTATGTCATTATACAGTAATTCATACCTAAAACTAAACCAGCCAGCTCTTCAAATGGATTTGTCACCATTTCAGTGTGTTAGTTCCATTTTTATGTGAAGAATTAAGATAGTTTATGTTAAAGGGGGAACCAAAAATGCATCAACTGTAGTTTTCCTAAACAAAACCAAAAATCTAAGTAAATAAACTCCAGTAAATAACATCCTCCTTTTAAAAATGAAAATATATGAATATTTAAAGCTGACTCAAATAAACAAATATTTGTTAAGGAGGGAGTGGTGGATTTTTACACATAGGACATTCTTGGTTCAGTCATTCAAATGAATGGAAAAATCAGCCAGCATATTTCAAGAATTTCATGTATATATTGTGGTGCATACAAGGAACTTGACTGGTGCCTGCTTTTGCTTATGAATAAGTTTTGATTTTCAACAAAAAAATATTGCCGTTTCTTTTTTTTCAGACTATAATTATAACTGTTTCCTTTGCAGACCTTGCCAGTGAGGTTTGGCGATGGACAATTGTATACCTGGACAGATGGTTTGAAAAGAAAGGACTGGCATGACTATGAACGTATTCAAAAAGATGCCATGCGTTTAGGTGAGATGCTTAAGGCACTTGACCCACACATGTAAGCAATTGGGAATGGGCACAGGGAAGAAATGAGAGAACTGCATTACTTACATACTTGCGAACAATGTCAAAATACAAGTATGAATGGTCAGTTTGTGTTGTGATGTCACTATGCACATTTCTTCATTTTCACATCATTGTGGTTTCTACTGGACATTTATGTCCCTGCAAACTATGTAGTTTTGCATTAGACATGAATAAATAGTGTCTATAGAGATATCTTCTCTGTATCTGAAATGTCATGCAAAATGTTGAATACCAAACTCAGTTTCATGGAAATCCACTTTCATTAAATTGATGTTTGTAACTGATCAATTATTCTTAAAATTCAGTGTCTAGCCAGAAGGATTGTTAAATGTAAGGCCCAGAAGAGACGTTGGAACTGAATTTTAGTTGAAATGTTCAGTTAAGTTAGTGTGACATTCCATCTGCCATCTTGCTACTTTTACCCTTATCCTCCATCCTTATGGATGCCACTAGGAATTGTCATAATTGAAATAGGAAGGAAAGTGGATCTGTTCCATTATTTAAAAGCTGAAGTTTTATCATAGCACTGTCAGTGGATAAATTTAAAAGTATCCTTTAAAGTTCAGCTCTTGCAAAAATTAAATTATTCGAATGATTTCTATACTATCCTTACTGGTTTGTTTTTAAAACTCTAAGGCTGAAACAAAGTGACTAAAAGTGAATATCTTTGCTGAGTGAGGATTTGACCAAGCTGTTCCTAGTCACAGTTCAGTATTAAACATAACTTAATACTGAGTTACATAGACATATATTTCCAAGGGTAGCCTTGTGAAACTTAAGTGAGACTTTGTTCCTGTGCTCTCGTGTTGGCTTCTAATTCTTTATTCAAATGAAATAGCTTTCATTTGTATGGAAGTAGCACATTTTTCTAGTGTAACTGTGAAATTGGGAACCAAGAGTTAATCTACAAATTAACGTATAGTATAGGTTATACTAAAGTGTGCTAGCTCATCTCAAAGTTTTACACATTATAACTAAACAAGGATCACAGAAACACAATAGGCTTTGTGTCATATTTAAAACTTGTTTATCAAATTAATTTTGATCCTAACTGAAAAGTGTAAAAATATGTACAAACAAGTCAAAGAATTGGCACTGTATTCTTTTGGATGTTCAGAATATGAAAAAAGCCATGTATCAATACATGTTTACCTTGAGATAAAGTAGTATATAACCCATACTGTTTCAAGAGTTTCTAAATTTAGTAACAAAGCATCCCATTAAAATTCAGAATAGTCTAGAGCAGTGGTTCCCAAACTTTTTCAGTCAACCGCCCACTTGGTGCTACAAACTCATCCTCAGTGCCCCCCACCCAGGGGTGGGATTCAAATTTCTGTGGGCATGGCCTAATTTGAGGGTGTGGCCTGCTGGTCACATGACTGGGTGGCCGTGGCTTGCTGGTCACGTGACTGGGTGGGCATGGTTTGGTGACTGGCAAATCAAATACAAGTGGTCCTCACTTAATGGCAGGTTGCTTAGCAAGTGTTCTAATTTATGATTGGCTTCCCCAGAGCTACTTGACTTGTTTTTGGAGTTTTGACAGCCATGCACACACATACACACACTCCCTTCTAACCCAGCTGGTTGGACTAGATATCTCATTCACTTTCTCCTTCCTCCCTTTCTCTTTCTTTTCTTTTCAGTGCACCTCCCCCTTGGTGCTACAAACGCATCCTCGGTGCTCCCCACCCCCACCTCCATTAGCAGTTACTAATGCAATGGATGGGCTTGATGAAGTGATACCAGTTTCCTAATGTCTGGTTTTAAGTCACTTAGCAGGAGTCTTAAATCACCATGTTCAGTAATCTGGAGTCGATTTCTTTGCTTGGAGAGAAGTTGGATGACCACACTGAAACCACGTTCCACCAAATATGATGTTGGAAATGCAACAAGAAGCTTCTTAACTACTGTCCATAGTGCAGGATAGAAATCAGAAATTTCCTTCTGTAACCAAAACTCTTGGTACGATTTCTTAAACTTTGGCTTCAGCTCAATGTCATTTTTCAGTTCTATTAGTTGTTCCTCCACTACCCCATCTTCCTCAGTATCTAAAAATGGTTTATCACCCAATCTGGAATTTCCATCAAAAGAAGATCCTGATACCGCTCAGACATATCTTTATGCAGCATGTCCAAATGGTCACAAAAAACATGCAGATCATCATCTTGTATCCCACCTTTCTTTTCTAGCTCAGATAAGCTTGGAAATTGGTATAGCTCGCAACAGCCTATATTGCACTTGAATAGAGCTAACTTTGAAATAAATGTAGAGATGACAGATCTGGCCTTAATAAGATTGACTTCATTTCCTTGCAACTGCAAATTCACTTCATTGAACTTTGTAAACAGTTCTGATAAATAAGCAATGTCATGCCTGATCTCTTTGAGTTCATCACTGAGCAAAGCATTCTTGCCTTCAAAAAACTCCACAACAGTGTCAAAAAGATTGTAAAAGCATCTCAAACAGTTGCCTTTTGATAGCCAACAAACTTCTGTATGAAGCAGCAAATGATCAAAATCTTCATCATCCTCAACACAGAGCTCTCAGAATAGTCGATCATTGAGAGCATGTACTTTAATTTTGTTCACTGCAGTAGTGACAGTGTAATGACTTGTTCAAGCGATCACTGAGTTTTTTTGCAACCAGATATTGGCGATGAATGACACAGTGAATGGTAAAGACATTTGGCACTGCTTTTTTCAAGTAAGCAACACACCCATGGTAGCAACCAGTCATTGATGGTGCTCCATCAGTTGCACAAGCAAGTATGTTGGTTAGTGGAATTACCTTGTCTTTGAAGAACTGCTCAACAACATGAAATATTGACTCCCCTTTAGTATCTGTATTTAGTTGCCTCACAAATAACAACTCTTGAGTCAAACTTTCATCTTTAATAAAGCGCCCATAAGCAAGAAGCAAAGATTCATTGCCTGGCAAAGTCGATTCATCCAGCTGTAATGCAAAGTCTGTTGTCTGTAGTATGCTGCACAATACATCTTCCACATTCTCAGCCATTTCATCTATGAGTCTTTGAACTGAATTGTTGCTGAGAGGAATTGTCTTAATTATATCATGTGGTGACTTATGCAAAACAGTACTCAGAACCTTACTAATGGCTGGTAGGATGAGTTCTTCACCAATAGTATGTGGCTTTCCAGACTTAGCAATCAGCAATGAAATATTGTATGATGCATGCAAACTGTCAGTGTTTTATTGGGAAGCATTAGAAAACATGCAAGACAGTGTTGGGTGCTGTTGAAATTTGTCACGAAGTGATTGAAAAAAAATTAGATTCTTGTCTGCCTTGTCAGGATGTGCCTTCTTCAAATGTTTGTTCAGTCTGGAAGGCTTCATTGCCTCATTAGAAAATACTTTCCCACATATTAGGCACTGTGGCAGCTGCTGGTTTGATGATGCTGGTATAAATCCATACTTTAGATACTCCACACTATATTGTCTACATTTCTTCTTTGATTTTTCTGCTTCTGCCATTTCTGCTCTAAAAATGAGAATATTTACAATATGTGTGTGTTCACATCTGATTTGAAAAGAGTTACAGTTGCAGGGGGCGTTAGTAGAAACCTGCTTTTTAAAATCAAATACAAGTGGTCCTTGCTTAATGGCCGGTTGCTTGGCAAGTGTCCTAATATTTATGACTGACCTCCCCAAAGTTACTTGACCTGTTTTGGAGTTTTGACAGCCATGCACACATATACACACACATTCCCTTCTAAGCCTGCTGGAGCAGGTCATTGGACTAGAATAGATAAAGCATCTCTGATTAGATTCTAGTAGTGAATAGAATCTAATCAGAGATGCTTTGCTGATTCTTGTTCATTTGTTTTATGTCCAAGCGGAGCAGTGCACCAAATCAATGGGGTGAGCCTGAGAGAAGGACAGAGAGAGAGAGAGAGAAGAAAGAGAGAGGGAAAGAGAGAGAGAGAAAAGAGAGAAGGAAGAAAAGGGAAAAGGGAAAGAAAGAAAAAGGGACAAAGAAAGAGTGGGGCATGGAGGGAGGGAGGGGGAGGGAGAGAGAGAGAGACAGACAGATAGAGAAAGAGACAGAGAGAGACAGAGATACCTGATGCATCAGATTGAAATATGGTCTAGTTTAGAGGCCCTTTTCCACATTGAAACATCTTTGCCAGCACATTGAAACATCTTTGGCTTCTATTAATTAAAGGTTTTGTGGAAGAAACATGGCCAATACTATCAGGAAGCTCTCACATTTTGTTGAGGCTTAAACAGGATCCATTGGACCAGACCTCCACCCTAAAAAATTACTTTTCCCCAATGTATTACAGTGCCAATTCTGAAGAAGGTAAAACCAAAATGTACTGGTAAATTACAAGAACACACACAAACACACATACTCCCTTCTAACCCTTCTGGAGTAGGTGATTGGACAAGAATAGATATTTCATTATATTTCTCCTCCCTCTTTATTTCTTTTTCTTTCTGTCCCTTTCTTCCATCCCCCCCTTTCTTTCTTTGACTTTGTCCCATTTTCTTTCTGTCCCTTTTCTCTTTTTCTTTCTCTCTCTCTCTTTTTTCCTGTCTCAGGTTCACCCCATTGACTGCTGCACACTCCGGTGTAAGGGGCTTAATGGGGTGAGCCTGCGGGGCCTTGCCTTGAATGCAGCTGCAGTGGAACATTTGAAAAGGAGAGCAAAGCCTTTCTGGCTTTCCTCCCCTTTTCAAACATCCCACTGCTGCTGTGTTCAAGGCAGGCATATCGGGAAAGCAGAGAAAATCCAGAAGGCACGTTGGGAAAGCGGAGGAAAGCCAGAGTGACTTTGCTCCCCTTTTCAAACATCCCACCGCCGTTGCGTTCACAGGCTCACTCAATTGACTGCTGCACACTCCAATGCAAGGGGCTCAATGGGGTGACCTGCGGGGCCTCACCTTGAATGCAGCAGTGGCAGGATGTTTGAAAAGGA